CATGCAAGCTACGATTGATCTCCATTCACCTGGAGTAGCAAAGGAAGGAGAGTCGGAAATCAGACCAGGAAATGGAATGCATGTCTGGTTGCCTCTGTGAACAACTGCTTCTTATGCTATGAGACCAGAAGAATTGGATGGTGCTCGACTACCATTACAGACCATATTGATAAAAGATTCTATAGAAGAATCCTGGTCAAAAAGGGGGGAAATGTGGAACAGAATTTTAAATTTTCAGTGGAATCCAGACTTTCTGGGGAGCCAGTAAGGCTGAATGAACCACCAAAACTGTTGCCCTGAGATTACTTTTAAACTTTAAACTTCAATTCAAACTATCACCTGAAGTATTCTTTGAACCAAATAATAGTTTAGCTTAATTAGTAAAATACATCTGCCTTAAGCATTGTGCTCCTTTTAAAGAATTATCTACATTGGATGAAACTGATGACAGCAACTTGAAAGGTTAGATGAGAAACTTAGGAGGCAGTAAGTTGATGCTGAAGGTGGTGGAATACTTTGGAAAAGGATAATGAGAATGGTTGCACAAATTAAAGAATGTAATCAATGTCATTCGATTGTACATGTAGAAATTGTTGAAATGGCACAACTGTTGCTGTGTATATTTTTACAATAATAATAATAACAATCACACACACACATAAAATAACAAAGCATCTTTAGTCACTGATTATAATTCTCTATTGTGTGTTTCCAAGTAGGACAAAGGTATCTTTATGAGAATTCCTTGCATAGTGATATCACCTCTGCACTGTGCCTCTTAAATAGTGCTAGATATCTCTTCACATAAAAATAATTATAAAGAAATATAGAACCTTGATATCAAAAGGAGGAATGAGCTGTCCCATCAGTATATGGATTCATCTCTCAAAATTTTTAAAAAGGGTCTATGTCTTCCAGAAATAGTTGTTTAAGGTAAAAATCACAATCTTTTGGAACAGTAATACTTACATCATTATTGTCATTTGTGTTTTTAAATAATAGAAAACATGTAGTAATTGTAGATTTGCATCAGGCAAAATCACATTGGGCAAATCTGCTGCAAAAGACTCTTTAAAGTGTTTAAAAACAAAGATAACACTTTGAGGACTAAGGTGTGCCTGACCCAAGTCATGGTATTTTCAATCACCTCATATGCATGGGAAAGCTGGACAAGGAGTAAGAAGACCAAAGAATTGATGCCTTTGAATTATGATGTTGGCAAAGAATACTAAATATACCATGAACAGCCAGAAGAACGAAAAAATCTGTCGTAAGAAGTATGATTACAATGCTCCTTAGAAGCAAGGATGGCAAGATTTCATCTCACGTACTTTGGACATATCATCAGGAGGGACCAGTCCCTGGAGAAGAACATCATGCGTGGTAAAGTAGAGGGTCATCAAAGAAAAGGAAGATCCTCAATGAGATGGATTGACACAGTGGCTGCAACAATGGGCTTAAGCATAACAAGAATTGTAAGGATGGTGCAGGACTGGGTAGTGTTTCCTTCTGTTGTACATATGGTCGCTATGAGTTGGAACTGACTCAACAGCACCTAACAACAATTGTAGATTCTAATTATGGCTTAAAGTTCTATCCCTGGTTCAAAACTAAATCTTGATAATAACAATAATTGACACTATAACAATGAAGGTAATGTGTCCAATGGAATCCTGAAGTAATTAATATATTATACCTCTTCCTTCAAGTTTAACTCAATACCAAAAGTAGGTTTACATTCTAGGAAGACAATAACCAAGTAATGGTACTATTACAAAAATCATCATTTCTACCAGACGTGTATTTAAGTGTTTGAAATAGAGCTCTGAACAATGATTAAGCCAGTTGTAGAAATCACCCCAAATTTAGGAATTGGTAACTTTCAGTTTGGTTTTGAAAAGAGAAAAGAGGGAGCCAACACTAATTAAGTGTCTACTGATGAAGATCAAAGACCACAGCCTTCAGTACGGATTACGCCTCAACGTAAAGAAAACAAAAATCCTCACAACTGGACCAATAAGCAACATCATGATAAACAGAGAAAAGATTGAGGTTGTCAAGGATTTCATTTTACTTGGATCCACAATCAATGCCCATGGAAGCAGCAGTCAAGAAATCAAAAGACACATTGCATTGGGCAAATCAGCTGCAAAAGACCTCTTTAAAGTGTTGAAAAGCAAAGATGTCACCTAGACAACTAAGGTGTGCCTGACCTAAGCCATGGTGCTTTCAATCACCTCATATGCAAGCGAAAGCTGGACGATGAATAAGGAAGAATAAAGAAGAACTGACACCTTTGAATTGTGGTGTTGGCAAAGAATATTGAATATATCACGGACTGCCAAAAGAACAAACAAATCTGTCTTGGAAGAAGTACAACCAGAATGCTCCTTAGAAGCGAGGATGGCGAGACTACGTCTCACATACTTTGGACATGTTATCAAGAGGGATCAGTTCCTGGAGAAGGACATCATGCTTCGTAAAGTAGAGGGTCAGCAACAAAGAGGAAGACTCTCAGATGGATGGACACAGTGGCTGCAACAATGGGCTCAAGCATAGGAACAATTGTGAGGATGGTGCAGGATCAGGCAGTGTTTCCTTCCATTGTGCATAGGGTCATATGAGTTGGAAGTGACTCAGTGGCATCTAACAGCAACAACAGAATACAAGAGCTTTACCAGTTGATCCAGCTTGAGTCTCATAACATACCCATGAAATAGAGTATTTTACCTATTTCACAGACGAGAAAATTAATGTTCAGAGAATATAAGTAACTCACTTATGATCACATGGCTAGTAAGTGGTGGGCAGAGCCAAGTTTGAGCCCTTTCCACCACATGATACTGCATTTTATAGGGTAAAGGACTTTCAAAACTTTTGTCTTCCTACCTTCAGAAGGCTCATTTATAGAAACAGATCTTCAAATATGATATATATTTAAGTTTTATCAATATTTTTAAAAGTAGAGAGTAATTTGATTACAAAAATCCTAAATATTCAAAAAATTGCAACCTAAAGAAATCATTAGGACAACTTTTTCATTGACTTTTCAAAAAATGTCAGGTTTGAGGTATCTGGTCACATGAGAAACATATCTTCAGAATGACTCTGAGTTGTTTAACACCTTTAAGTACTTTTGCTGTGCAATTACCTGAATTTTTTTTACCTGTTAATATATCTTTAACCCAAATCATCTTTGAACTTGTAGTTACATGAGACCTTTGAGGTTATCTGAACAAAATAACTAAATACATGAAAATATAAATACATCCAATTAAGCACACACACACATAGACAAATGGTTAATAAGATTAATATGGGTAAAATGCAATTGCTAAAGTTTTGCAGTCTTTAAACTCATGTATCATATTTTTGCACAAATAATACCCTCCTTCTACGTTTGTCTGCCAACCGTACCCTCTTCCCAGCGAGGTGTATTTGTAAGCACGCTATGCTATTTTTTTTTTACAGCAACATGTAAAAAAAAAAAAAAAAATTGGCAAAGCAGTGTTTACGAAAACACCTGGTGGCAGGGGAGGGGGGGTTGGCAAATGCAGAAGGCCCATGTTATTTGCATAAAAATATGATATGTTTACTAAATTTTCTAGGCAACTGAAGATAACTGGTTTGGGTACTGATAGAAAATCCAGATAATGGTAAAATATAAAGAAATATTTGACACTGTGTGACAAAATGTACCTTTTCCACTCTTCAGTTGACATAACCCCACATGTCCATGGAATCTAATGCAAATGCTTATTGTCAGATGGAAAATGAAAAATGTCATTATGGCCACTGTACTCTTTTATTTCTGAAATTCCTTTAAATATATCCACCACCCATCAAACAAATGGATGAATTGGACTTGGAGCTGCTTGCCATTGAGATCTTCCTTCTTAATCCATTGTTTGAAAATTGATTTTGAAAGATAAATTCATAAACCTTGAACTTTTTCTTAGTGATGCCTAAGTCACAGATATATCTATCTACTGTTAAATTCCAAGAGATACTCATGTTAGTTCAGATTTCTAAGCATTTAAGAACATGTAACCTGAAAGTAGTCCCAAATTTATAAAAGTAAACTAGTGTAATTGTGGAAATGCCAATGATCTATGACAGACCCTTCTTGTTCGAAGCAAAACACTATATGAAGCAAGTGTCATTTCAAGTTTTGCCTAGCACCACAAAACCTTTTTCTTTTTTTTTAATGTGGTGAAAAAATTTATATTTAGAATTAGCCAGCTGGACTCAGTTTAGATGATCCCAAGTTTGTTGGCAACATCCAAAGCATCATAGTCAGGAGCCAGTCGAACATATGCCTTTTTCTCCCCATCAGGTCTGATAAAGGTGTTGACCTTGGCCACATCAGTGTCATAGAGCTTCTTCACAGCCCGTTTGATCTGGTGCTTGTTGGCCTTGACGTCCACAATGAACACAAGTGTGTTATCTTCCGTCTTCTTCATGGCTGACTCAGTGGTCAGGGGGAACTTGATGATGGCATAGTGGTCAAGCTTGTTTCTCCTGGGGGCGCTCTTACGAGGGTATTTGGGCTGCCTTCACAGCTTCAGTGTCTTGGGCCGCCGGAAGGTGGGTGAAGTGCGGATCTTCTTTTTTTTTTGTGGCTGCGGACGCCTTTCAGCACTGCCTTCTTGGCCTTCAATGCCTTTGCTTTGGCTTCCGTTTTGGGAGGGGCAGGGGCTTCCTTCTTCGCTTGCCGCGCCATCTTCGTAAAAAGGCCAAAACCTATTTATTTTTCACACATGTAAACTGGAAGCTATAAATACCTGAACTTAACTGTATTTTCGTTTTTTTAAGTAGAACTTTTTAAGAAAAGTAAAAACGGAAGTTATTTTTCTAAAATGTTTAGAAACTACATTGGAGACTTTGGGTCTTGAATGTGATAACTTTGGAAATGTGCAACTGTCTATTTCTAATGTGGGAAAACTTTCCCAAACTTCCCTCCTGAAGATTCTGCATTCTGCCCCAAAAGGGAGGCCAACATGACTCAAAACCCTCAACATATCAGTGGAGTAAGAGAGTGCTGTCACACTATGATACTTGAGTTTCTAATTCTATCAGCATTCACCTAACGTTACTATTATCACACATCTCCGATATTAGAGTGTTCAGAGACAGTCTGATATGTTCTTACTGGTGAAAAAACTGTTTCGACTATCATCAGGCATCTGAACATTCAGTGTTTCTGGCCTTGGTACTGTCTTATACCTTGGTGTTTATGGGTGAAATAGGAATCATGTTGTTGGCACTCTGTGAGCTTAATGATTTCTAAGAACTCTAGTGAAGTGAGCAAATGAGATAGAAACAGGGCATTATTGGTTATACTGATGACCTGCTTTGGGATTATTCTTGCTACTTCCCAGCCTTGCCAGACCCCTGATGACTTTGTGGCTGCCACTTCTCCAGGACATATCATGATTGGAGGTTTATTTGCCATTCATGAAAAAATCCTGTCCTCAGAAGAACATCCCAGATGACCAGAAATCCACAAGTGTGTTAGGTGAGTAAAGCCTCAGAGAACACACTTAGATTTCAAGATCATGCCAGAGAACAAGGACATGTAAAATGTTTACTTATATTAGCATCTAAAGTGTTTTAATAAAATTTAAACTCCTTGAGAGAAATTATATTCACTGAACAACTATTTATTAAATGCCTACATTACTGAGGCCCCATTCAGGGCACTGGGGATACAGAGATGAATACACTAGACAGGTCCTGACTCTCATGTGGCTTGCATGTGGAGTGCTCTGAAAATATTATAAGATTTAATTGTCAGACAAACTATTACCTTAACCTTTCCCTCTTCTTTGTTTCATTTTCTTTAACTTAAAATCTTAATGCTCCTTTGCCAAACTTCATATTTAGATGATCCACAATGATAGTTTTATTCAAGTGGTTTTATTTAATTTATTACTATTAATGAACTAAAAGGAAACTTCAGACTATTGAAGCCTGATCAATAATACCACACTTTGTTAATTTAAAAAAACATTTAGTGAACCATTATTATGTATTGGGCCACGTTTGTAACCCTTAGTATACAGTGGTGGATGCGATAAATGTAACAGTAAATCAGTAATCAAACAACAAAATGCTCTGGAATAATCACAAATCAAGAAGTAAATTGGAAAAGTCCTCTGAATGTGAAAATAACTATGCTTCAAAACTAAAATAATGCCTTTATCTAGGAGAAGTTTGTTGGACTGTTACCCAGAGACTGTTTTACATGTAATTCTTCAGAGTCTTATTTATCTGGTTTCCAACCACAACAGATTAGAATTAGAAAATTAATATAATGACTTATGAGTTTTAAAATGCAAGTACTTTGACAGCAATAAAATGCTGACATCTAACTACAAAAAGAATTTAAAAATTAAGTCTCTATATTGCAGAATACTGAATTAATTGTTCAAAATGATCCCAGAATTCATCAAGAAAAGTTTAGTCACAAAACGGGACTAATGAGGAAAAGCAGTCCAGGGACAAGGACTAGAAGGCAGGAGAGGACAGGAAAGCTGGTGATAGGGAACCCAAGGTTGAGAAAGGACAGTGTTGACATGTCGTGGGCTTGTTAACCATTGTCATAGGGCAATATGCGTACTGTTTAATGAGAAACTATTCTGTTCTGTAAACCTTCATCTAAAGTACAAAAAAAAAAAAAAAGAGTTATCTATGTGAAATCAAATTGACAACAGCAACTCGAAAGTTTTGATGAGAAGATTAGGGGGCATGAGTTGAAGATAATGTTGATGGAATAATTTGGGAAAAGATAGTGAGAATAGCAGCACAACTGGAAGAGCGTATGTTCTGAATTGTATATGTAGAAATTTTTGAAATGGTGTATCTTTGGCTATGTATATTTTCACCAAAAAAGAAAAAAGGTCCTCCAAGGTCGAGAAGGGAGAATGTTGACACGTTGTGGGATTGTTAACCAATGTCATAAAACAATATGCGTACTGACTGTGTAATGAGAAACTATTTGTTCTGTCAACCTTCACCTAAAGTACAATAAAAAAAATTTTTTTTTAAAAAGAGAAAAGTTTAGTCCTGTTTCATGTACTATGCTTAAGAAACTGTAGATTCCTATAATACCCTTTACAAAGGTTTCTACCAAAAATTATTTTTAAATAAGAAAAATCTATAGTCTTCAACAGATGAGCTTCACTTATTCAGAAATTTCCAATTATAAGCAGAAATGTGAATAAAATGAGACATCAGTATGCCTATAGAAGAGTTCTGATTGTAAAAATGTTCTGATTCCAGAAAATACTTGTTTCCCAACAGCTTTGAAATATCAATCTTTCTTCAAACTCTTGCTATGATACACAGCATTGAGATGATCAATAATTCAACACTACTATCTGGAGTCACACTGGGGTATGAAATCTATGACACTTGTACAGAAGTCACAGTGACAATGGCAACCACTCTCAGGTTTCTTTCTAAACTCAACTGCTCCAGAGAAACTGTGGAGTTTAAGTGCGACTATTCCAGCTACACGCCAAAGGTTAAGGCTGTCATAGGTGCTAGCTACTCAGAAATAACCATGGCTGTCTCCAGGATGTTGACTTTACAGCTCATGCCACAAGTAGGTTTTTTTCTATTTCCATACATGGATCTTGATCATATTCATTATTATGAAAGGATCAGGGTAACCCTGGAAAACTAGTTAGAGAGTTGCTTTTACTTTAATCTTTCTTTCTTATCAGTCAAAGAGAGGATGTGCCCTATTATGAATAGTATAGAGGAAAAGAAGTACTAGTTGAGTAGTTACCCCTCAATCTGTCAGGTCTAGTTTCTGACAGCTTTCAGCGTGATTTAGATAAGAAGCAAATGTCTGAGAGCCTCAACACAGAATTCCAAAATAACATCAGTTGGATGATATGAAGAAAAGTGAAGAGAATAAAGATCAAAGGGGTATGATGGTCAAGGAAGACCTCTTAAGGAAGCGACGTTGAGCATGAAACTTGAATGAGAAGGATAACCAAGGGAAAATGGAGGAAGAGCAGAGAGTGTCTAAGCAGAGGAAGCAAAAAGTGCAAAGTTTGGAATGCTCAAAGAATATTTTAAAAGGTCACTATGGCTAAATCAGTTTGAGCAGAAAGGAATAGAGTAAAAGAAGCATTTGTAGAGACAGGAAAGGACTGGGTCACAGAGCATCATGAAAGCTATAGTATGTTTTGCTTTTGTTCTGAATGTGATGGGAAGGCTTTCAGCAGGGACTATAGAGCTGCTTATCTCCATGTAATATAAGCCAATAACCAGGTTGTAAACCAAAAGACTTCTGAAAAACCAAAAGAGACATTAGAGACTCCATGCACTAAGTTCTTGCACATTACAGTTATATGTTGCTTCACATCCATGATATGTTCTGTGAAATAGGACGTTTTGTGATTTCGACATTGTGGGAAGACGGTATTATATACAGGCAGTCCCTGGATTATGAACAAGTTCCCTTCCTGAGTCTGTCTTTAAGTTGAATTTGTACGTAGGTCAGAACAGTTAGGTAAGGTTCGTATCTAATGTCAGTTAGTCAAATGTTTGTCTTAGTATATAGTAGTGTACGTTTCTAAGCATAAAAAAAATTAAATAAACACTCCAGAGACACTAAAACATCTTTAACATAATAATACAGTAATAATAATAATAATAATGTTTGATGTGTGTGGCAAAGTAGTGCCCGTTTGTTATTACAAACCATTGTATGTACCTCAAATTTTTAACATAATAGGCTTTATGAGGTCAGTTCGTAACTACAGGTTGTACATAAGTCAGACGTTCATAACCTGGGGACTGCCTTACTTAGTACCTCTGAGGAGCTCTGGTGGCGCAATGGTTAAACACTCAGCTGCTAACTGAAAGACTGGCGGTTCAAATCCACCAGCCGCTCTTCAAGAGAAAGATGCAGCAGTCTGTTTCCTTAAAGATTTACAGCCTTGAAACCCCATGGGGCAGTTCTATTCTGTCCTACAGAGCCACTGTGAGTCAGAATTTAACTTGAACAGCAATAAGTTTGGTTTTGGTTTTGGTTTTAGTGTACTTGTATTGACTAAATAGCCACTGGGAAGCTGTTGTGTTTGCTACATCCCATTTTCCAATGGGGATTTCTGAACTCTGTTATAACCTTATGGGACCACAGGTGTATATGCCATCAGATGTTGCCCAAATGAATGTTATGCAATGCATGACTGTACTCAGAGTCAAGCAAGCCACTTTGGCTTTTATTTTGAGCCTACTTATCTTCATATCCAGGAGAAAGATGTGGCAGTCTGTTTCCATAAAGATTTATAGCCTTGACAACCCTGTGGGGTCACTGTGAGTCAGAATTGACTCAACGGCAGTGGGTTTGGTTTGGTTTTTGGTATCTTCATATCACACCATTCTGTAACTTGCTCAGTTCCTGCTATCTAAGACCAAGGAAGATTAGAAGCCAAAAGTTAGAAAGGAAAAATATTTATTGTCATACTATCAAGAAATAATCATCTGATAGCAGTGAGCAAACAGGAAATATATATATAGCATAATAAATATGTGTAAGAATTCAAAATATATGACTTTCTGGAATTTGAATAAATAAATCATATAACCATAAACAACCCTAGTACTTCCATTATATTATAACCTAGTGAAGTTTTATAATCAAAACCCTGAATTATCAAGAAATGTTAAAGTTATGTTTAATGACTTCCGTTTAAGGAGACAAGCAGATAAGAAAATTACTTTTTTAAAAAAACTGAAAGCTATATATAGGCAAAAATAATACTGTAGTTATTTTTAATTACAAAACGAAGTAGAGCTAGAAGTCCAAATAAAAGATAAGCTACCAAAAAATGATAATTTAAAGAGATAATTGTGATAACTATGCAGTGTCACAAAAAAGTATTTATGACATAACTTTAAGTGAATTTTATTTTAAAATTATAATTAATTAAAATGGGCATATATGGTCAAAGATTGGAAGAGAACAGGAGATAAGGACAAGAGTTGACATTAGGATTGGTGACATTTTGGATGATTTATTTTTACTGTTTTATTATGCTTATAAAATTCTAACAAGTAAAATGTATATGGACAGGAGTATAAGAGATTTTAGAAAGACGGTATCAAAAACAAAGAAGAGAAAGTTTAAGTCTTAAATGACAAAAGCAAAAAGAATAATTCCCCAACCGTATCAGAGATAAGGCTTTGGCTCAAAATTTCTAGAGTATGCACAATGCTAGTTAAGTGATAAGTAAGAAAAGTAAACTAATTTAACAATGGTTGACTAATGCAAAAATGTAATTTCCATAATAGACAACATGGAAGGGAAGGGGGCTCTTTAGGCATAACATTGGTTTTACAGAAGTCCAGTTCTTAGAATGCAGCTGAGCACAGCCAAGTCAGTACTGGAAAGGGAACTAAGGTTCAGTGAATGTCCACCGTGCTCTAGTATACAATTAAATTTTCTCCTTTAATAGTCAAAAGAACCCTATGATTTTACAAGTAAACATATGTTAAGGAACTTTTCTGAATTAACTGGTGTCAGAATGCTAACACTGTGTCAGACTCCAATGCCTCTTGTCTTTCCACCATACTTTGTGGCTTCTGTAAATAGTAAAAAAAAAAAAAAAAATGAGTACTGACTGAGCAAGTGACATGGTGCTATTGCAGCTAGGGAAAATAATAATTCTACTGGAATAAAACCATCAAAGGTGTAAACCAGGCAAAACTTTGCACACGTTACCTGTTGCTGTCAAGTTGAATTCGACTATTAGTGCATACATTATGTACCCCAAAATGCTAATGCATATTTGACTAGATTAGAAGTCAGCAAACTACAGTCTGTGGGCCAAATGTGACTCTCAAGTTCTTGACTTCTCAAGCTATACGGATAGTTTTTTACATTTTTTAAAGGGTTATAAAAACAAAACAAAACAAAAAACACAAAGTATATATGACGGAGACCACATGTGACCCCAAAGCCTAAATATTTTTTTGTCTTAAAAAAAAAAATTGCCGTCCAATTGATTCCGACTCATAGCAACCTTATAAGACAGAGTAGAACTGCCCCACAGGGTTTCCAAGGAGCGGCTGGTGGATTCAAACTGCCAGCCTTTTGGTTAGCAGCCAAGTTCTTAACCACTGCGCCACCAGGGCTCCATTTTCTTTCTGTCTCTATAGAAAAAGTTTTCTGATCCCTGGACTAGATGATTATTTGGCTTGATGATTTATTTTACCTAGAATAAAATCACCAAAGTTCTAAATTAGACAAAAGTTTGAACATATTAGATATCCCAAAATATACTTTGCTTATTTGTCTGGCTGCATTGTTTCCTCTATTTACCTCTATGTATTTAGATAATCTCTACTGTTGGTCCTGGCTGAGATATAAAATAGATATAAATGGATATAGAGGTATAGATAGAGATATAAGATAGAGCCAGAAACATCAACGGGCTTATACTATACACAAAATGAAATGATTAAAGACCAATGAATCTAAACCCATGACAAGGTGGTAAGTATCATGACTTGAGCTATTTGTAAAGTAAAAGTCTATTGAAAGGGAAGGATAGAAAAGACCAGAAAATTTAGGGAAAGATTATAGATATTTACAGAAATCAAAGAGAGGAATACCTATCATAAACAGTCACTTGGAACTCATCAATGCCATAACTAAAAGATTCTGTCAATTTCCAGGTGAGTTATGAATCAACTGCAGAAATTCTAAGTGACAAAAGTCGCTTTCCTTCATTTTTACGGACTGTGCCCAGTGACTTCTATCAAACTAAAGCAATGGCCCACCTGATTCAGAAATCTGGGTGGAACTGGATAGGCATGATAACTACGGATGATGACTATGGACGTTCGGCTCTCAACACTTTTGCAATTCATGCTGCTGCAAATAATGTGTGCATACCCTTCAAAGAGGTTTTTCCAGCTTTCCTTTCAGATAATACCATCGAAGTCAGGATCAATCAGACACTTGAGAAGATCATTGCAGAAGCCCAAGTTAATGTCTTTGTGGTATTTCTGAGGCAATTCTATGTTTTTGTTCTCTTCAATATAGCTATTGAAAGGAATATAAAGAAGATCTGGATTGCTAGTGATAATTGGTCAACTGCCACTAAGATTGCCACCATTCCTAATGTTAATAGGATTGGCAAATTGTGGGGTTTACCTTTAGAAGAGGGAATATGTCCTCTTTCCATTCCTTTCTTCAAAATCTGCATACATTCCCCAGGGACAATAACAAACCCTTAAATGAGTATGTCATGCTTTTGTCTGCCTGTGCATATGCTAAAGACAGCGATTTGAGTCAATGCATTTTCAACCATTCTCTGAGGACTTTGCCCTACAAGGCTATAGAAAGGAACTTCTCCCTGAGAAATGACTTCCTGTGGGATTATACTGAGCCAGGACTGGTTCACAGTATTCAGCTTGCAGTGTTTGCCCTTGGTTATGCCATTTGGGATCTGTGCCAAGCTCGAGACTTTCAGAGCCCCAACGCTTTTCAACCGTGGGAGGTACTAACTCACACATCCAAAAAAATTCCCCCACCATCATTTTCCCCATTTCCTTCCCTTCCTTAACTTGCAATAGATTTATATTAACTACTCTTAATCTTATCTCTTTTATAACACCTTCAGTGTTTGAATAACTTGCATTTCTATCATAGCTCACCATTCTTGAAGATAACAGATAGAGTTATCATTTTACATTCACCTCCTACTCTGACCCATCAAAGTTGTGTGCTTTTCTATTCCTTGTGTTATGGGTTTTTATAAGACCTTGCAGTTTTTCCAATGCTTCCTATAAATTATCTTTTAATTCTCTTAACAAACACAGGAGTTAGACCAGGCAAGTTTAGTGACCCTTTTTATTATTATTATTAGGTCCCTGGGTGGCACAAGCAGTTTGTGATTGGCTGCTAACCAAAAGATTGGTGGTTTGAACCCTCCCAGTAGCACTGTGGAAGAAAGGCCTGACAATCTCTTCTGTAAAGATTACAGCCAAGAAAATCCTATGAAACAGTTCTATTCTGTAACACATGGGGTTGTCATGAGTCACAATTGACTCGATGGCAACGGGTTTGGTTTTCTGTTTTTTATTATTCCTAATTATTATGGAGGAAACACTGGTGGCATAGTGATTAAGAGCTACAGCTGCTAACCAAAAGGTCAGCAGTTAGAATCCACCGTGCGCTCCTTGGAAACTCGATGGAGCAGTTCTACTCTGTCGTATAGGGTCACTATTATTATGGATGAGGAAACATAAGCTAGAATGTACCAGAAGTAAGACTCCAGTCTGAGTCTCCCGACTTCATGCCCACTGCTTTTCACTGTGCCATTAGTGATTTATGGTAACTTAGGGTGGTCTCCTTAGAACACCAGCCTTCTTCAAAGAATAGTGTTCAATTGCGTGTAATAGAAGTCTTTCCTTTTCTTCTCTCTGATTAGCTTGTTATTGTTAGGTGTCCCCAAGGTGGTAGCTTGTAGAAACTCAAATTAAAGCTTAATGTGGTCTTATTTAATGAAAATTTTCCATTGTGTTTTTAATGTCTGTGAACAAGGCATTTAAAAGTGAATTGCTTCTTTAAATGATGATAAATTTTATTCATTAGAGACAAATAAATTTCTTAATAAAATGTGTATTCGAAGACAAACTTACATGTCTTGAGGGAGAATCATCTTCCAAAAATATATTTATTTTAAATTTGTAAGGGACAAGAAGGTAAAAGGGAATAAGGTTCAATTTTTCTGATGGTATAAGTGGATATCCAGAATATATTATTTCTACTTTTGTCATTTTTACAATTAAAAAAAAAAAAATCTGTTGCCATCAAGTCGGTTCCAACTCATAGTGAACCTTTAGGACAGAGTAGAACTGCCCAATAAGGTTTCTAAGGAATAGCTGGTGAATTCGAACTGCTGACCTTTTGGTTAGCAGCTGAGCTCTTAACCACTGTGCCACCAGGGCTCCTTTTTTGTCTTTTCCCCATAACTATAGGCATGCAAAAACACAAGCTTCAAGGTTTGAGGTGACCAGCTTACATCTGAGTGGATCATGTAATGGCCACAGGGTGTTTTAAACTGCTCATTTTTAAACTAGTTTTCACCTTGTAAATACAAGGCCAAAAATCTAATAAAGATGTTATTGTTGTATGCTGCTGAGTCAATTCCAAGTCATAGCAACCCTATGTAACAGAGTAGAACTGCCCCAGAAGGTTTCCTAGGCTATAATTTTTGTGAGAGAAGATCACCTGATCTTCCTCCCACAGAGCTGCTTGATGGGCTCAAACTGCCAGCTTTCTGGTTAGCAGCCAAGCACTTTACCATTGTGCCACCAGGGCTCCTTAATGAACAGGTAAGACTAGAGATTAAGATAATTTTTCAATTAAAACTCTCATAGACATGTATATAGTATTTTTAAAACACCTGGTTGAAAGAATACTCTTTAGTGTACAACTTTAATGGAAGATGAGTTATAAGCATAACTTCTCTTTCTCAAGTCACCAACACTCTTCACTATCCTCTAATTCAGCCAGCCTTTTCCTAATATATTTCAATAGTTTTGGTCTGGTACACTGCAGAAAAACATGTTTCATTTTAAAGTGCAGACTACCATACTGAAACACCACTTGGAATTTTAGGAATGAGAGCTTAAGAGGAATGGAGGGAAAAATAGACAATCATAGACACAAGTGGAGTAAAGGGGAGAGGATATAACGAGCCCCAGGAAAGAGAAATACAAATAGCAAGAGAATTCCCTTTACTCTCTAAAGATCAGGGAAAGTATATCAGGAATAAGTCTCAAACATTCTGAGGAAAAGACTTGAGAAAGTATAATCTAAGCCAAATCTACTAAAATGTTTTATTTAAACACCAGGCGCCTGGGGTCATTCTTTATGCCCCTGAGAGCCTGTTTATCTAGAAACAAACAGAAACAGATTGGAAAAGAGGACTGCGAGTGACTTGCTCCTTTGATCACGATGTGCATGAGCCACGTCTTTGTCAGGTTCAGTGGGGCAAATAATGCAAACAATGGTCTTTTTATGAAGAAACCTGCATAGACATGAAATTTCAAAGATCATCGACTCTACAGCAAGGGGCTTTGTTTCTGGTTTTAATCAGAGATACGTTCTTCAGGATTATTTTTTTTCCTAACAAAATTTACAAATATTTAAATGACATTTTCTAAATGATCATTTAGAGTCAAATAATTTTGAAGGGGTTAGTTCTTCCCAGTGCTTGAGAATAATACTTTTTTTGGCTCCAGATTTCAGTGACGTTTGTGAGCAGTACTCAGGGACAGCACAGTAACACTCGTTTTACTTCAACAGATTTTTAATGTTTCTCAGGTGTGTGTGAGGATACCACCTCCTTGTCACTAGTGATTTTGGTTTTATTTTTTTCCCCTCCACTTCTGATGATATATAGGGTAATAAGTGATGTATGAGAGAAGAGAATGTCAAACTGTTATTCATGTAATTATTTAGCAAACATATGTTGGATGTTTCAATGTTCCAGGCACTGTGTTGAGTGTTAAGTTATTATGGAGAATAAGAAAGAATTCCTTCCTTAATGGAGTCTTCTTTTTACAGTAGTATGCAATCAAACAATTAAGAAGCTGGTTACAATGCAGGATAATGCATTACAATGCTTCATACAAACACATGATGGCAGAGAAGCACATAATTGAAGCAGCTAATTCAGAATTAGCGGTTCAGGAAAAATTTTCCAAAGAACACGGCATCTATGATGAATATGATGAGCTGGTAGGAGTTAGCCAGGTAGAAGTTAGACAAAAAAATCTCTAGCAAAGTCCCAGAGAGAAAAGAAAGCATGGCATTCTCAGGGCCAGAAAATGGCACCATAGGACTGGAGTCTTGTATGGACGCTGTAGGTAAATGAGATTGGAGGGGTTAGTGAAGGATACATCACTAGGGTCTTGTCAACCAAAGCATCTCCAACATTAACGTGCAGTTGAATTGTCTGGGAATCTTGTCAGAATACAGATGCTCGTTCAGTAGTTCTTGGGTGGGACCTGAGAGTTTGCATTTCTAAAAAGCTCCCAATACTGATACTGATGCTGATACTGCTGGCATCAGGATCATCCTTTAAACAGAAAGATTTTAAACTATCTTCAAATGCTTGGACTTGATAGAGCAATGGGGACCCGATTAAAGATATTTTTAGCAGGAGAGTGATGTTTTCTATTTCAGAAACAGAATTCAGACTGCAGTGATAATTGATTAAAGGACACAATACTGGAGGGGAAAAGACCAATTTGATAATCTAGGTATAAGAGAAGGGTGCTTTGTACTACAAGTGTGACAAAAACGATGGGAGATATATACATGGACACTAAAAGGACGTATGAAGATCATTTGAATAAGATTGGATTTAAAGGATGACGGACGGAAGCAAAGATGTTGCAAACGATTCCAAATTTGAGTAACTAGTATCATTTATCAAGATGGAAACAGACATAAGTGGAGATCTGGCGGGGAGAAGAAATATTAAGCATTCCATTTTGGATATCTTGAGTTTGAAGAACTTACGAGACATCCAAGTGTAGCAATCTAACCCTAACCCTAATACTTTTTAAGGTCTCCTGTACTACCAGTAGCAGTTGCTGTCAAGTAAACTCTGACTCATGGCTACCTGATGTATGTCAGAGGAAAATTGTGCTCCATAGGGTTTTCAGTGGCTGATTTTTTCGAAGTAGATTTTCCAAAGAGCCTCTGGGTTAGGGTTAGGGTTAGGGTTAGATTGCTACACTTGGATGTCTCAGGAGCAGTTAGGAGCCAAGCATGTTAATGGTTTGCACCACACTTCTAATCCACAGGACTCATATTCTTTACATTCCATCCTAAAGAAGTGGCAAGAGAAAATGCTGTTGGTGACCCAGACTTGCAGCAGTTTAGAGATGGAGGGGATTTTAGTCAGGAAGGTTCTGGCCCACATTTGCTCACATAGCAGTAAAGCTGTCCCAGCCTTAGTCCAGGGTGCTTTCCTCTACCCCACGGAAAGTTTCACAAAAGAAAAAGACATAGGCTGGGCCCTAGGACTGCTCTCTCTGCTATTCTCTAATTCACTGACGTAAATACTTCTTTTCATAACCACAGCTCACTTGTGAGGATAGAGTGGATATCAGACCAGTTAAGGAAATGGAAAACAACATCAACCACAACAACTTAATTGGCATGGCCCCCAGGCCTCGCATTCCTAGAAACAGGACATTACCACATGGAGGAGAAATATATAATAATGGAAATGTGAATACCACTCTCTCCTTTTTTTATGTCAAATTTATAATGAATTTCAGAGTCTTCATGAAAAAGTAACAAACGATGGATGGAAAAAGCATTTAACAGTTTAATAACTAGGGTGTTAATGTTCAAAATTTACCTTAATCCAAAGTAAATGTTCTATCGTATTTAATGAGTAATGAAGGTTCTGTTTTATTTGCCTCCACCTTCTTTCCTGTAAGAACAAGCATAGAATTGCTCTAGTTTATTTACATTATTCAATGTTATCATTATTTACAGAATGTGTATGTGTCAGAACTTTACCCTGTAGAACCTAATTAAATACAGGAAAAAACAGATGGAAATTATAGTTCAAACACAAAAGTGGAAGAGGATATGCTCCATAAAGAACTGAGCTACTGGGGCTTAAAAGTGCGTATTGCTTAAGGAAGGATCAGAAGAAAAACCAGTATACATGTAGAGGTGGAAATACTGAAGGCAGGCCCTTACTTATTTTTTGTTTAGTTCCTTCCACTTTTTTCTCTCAGGCAATTACTTGGATAAGGTTTTGTTGATTAATTTCACCATGGATGTTAGTCCACCGAGATGTTAAATCTTGCTTCTTTAAAGTAATACGAATTAATTTACATTTGTTAGAAGAGCTAATAAAGTAAATAGGCCCACTTAGAGATTTTGCTAAAATGTTATTGTCATTGACATGACTATTATAGCTAATAGATTTACTATAAAATATTACTTCATTTTCTTATATTCTATTCACTAAAAAAAAAAAAAATTAAAGGAAGCTAAATAGAATACTTTCTGCCTCATTCCATAGATTTTGAGCCCAACAAAAGTCATATAGAATCACAGATTTCGATCATCAGTGGGCCCAGTGCATTCAGAGACGGTATTTACTTAGCCATAATTATGTTCAAGGTAATGGCAACACTGAACTGAAACCTGTTTTCCTACCAGTGTTACTTTACTGCAGCACAAGTTCATTAGGGCTGCCTCATTTGTAAGTTAATCATTTCCTGTCCTAGTTGTATTGCATATACGTTCTCGCTATAGAAATTGGGTGGCAAGACAAGTAATTTTTCATCACATTTCTTGCCTCTCAAGTTAAAAAAAAAATCATTTTATGAATTAAATTAGAAATAAAATTTAGAGGTTACTTTACTATGCACGGACCCTGGTTGTGCAGTGGTTAAGAGCTTGGCTGCTAACCAAAAGGTTGACAGTTCGAATCTACCAGCTGCTCCTTGGAAACCCTGTGGGGCAGTTCTACTCTGTCCTATAGGGTCTCTAGAGTGTTGCTATGAGTTGGAATTGACTCAACAGCAACAGGTTTGGTTACTTTTGGTTTACTATGCATACTAGGAGTCCCTGGGTAGCACAAATGGTTAAGCACTTTTGCTAACGTAAAGGTTGGCTGTTCATCACCATGATTGGAATCCACTCGATGGCCACTGTTTTGTTTTGGTTTTTACTATGCACTCAATCACTGAAACAGACTTGAGACCCACTGGAGATAACAAGGCTCCACCTCCCACCAAATGAGTAACAACGTATGGACTTAAAGGGTGGACTCCAGCCATTACCTTACATCCACCAACTAAACTTCTCTGGTGAGGACGTTCCTCAGAGCACACCCCAGGAGTAGGATGCTGTTTGTAGCTCTGTCTCTTCTGCTTTCATTTTGGAGCTGGTGAACATGATAACTGCTGGTTTGCATTACTCACTTAGACCAAGTCACTTGTGACTCTAGAAGGAAAGGAAAAATTTTCCTGCCTTCCATAACTCCAGAAGGCCTATTGCTGATTACTCTGGAGTCAGAAAGAAAAAATAGTGAAAAAGATTTTCAATTAATGTATTGCCAGATGTGATGGAAAGACCCCAGAGTGAAAGTCAGGATGTGTGTCCTCAGATAAGTCCCTTCACCTCTCAGTGCCTGGGGGATCTCATCTAAGAAAAGAGGAAGATAATCCCTATATACCTGCTTCACTGAGTTGTTATGGGATAAAAGGATATCACAGATATGAGTATTGACAAGTAATAGATGAATGTTATTTATTTGCACAATGTCCCTGTTAGATCATAATAATACCTGTTCCAGATACTGGGCTAAACTCTATACGTGTATAATTATATTTAGTCCTCACAATAGCCCTATTAGGTAATTTCTACTATCCTCATTTTACAGATGATGAAGCTGAGGCCTGGGGGAAAAATTATAACTGTCAAGATCACACCATGAGATATAGAGCCAGAATCAGAACCCAGGCTACTTCTTTACAGGACACATTCTGAAATGCTGCTATGTGGATAAACAGATGCTCAGATTCCAGTATTATAGGATAGAAAATCTACCATCCATAAAAATTAACTTGCTTTCTCAAATTCACATAGCAAGACTTTGGCAGAAATGAGGCTGGGACTCAAGTAGAACTCATTCTTAAATGGTTACCATATGGTTAAGAGCCTCTCTTAACCAGTTAGCACCCTCACTGATCCAAAATGTCTTTTTTCTTTTTCTTCTAATTTTTAAGTGATATTCCTTGTAAGACTGTTATCATTGGGATAATGAATGCACTTACAGTGTGCATTCAGTGTTTGTTTCTGTTTTTATTTTTTATAGTTACTTGATGTGCTAAAAAATGTGACATTTTCTGATGGAAAGAATTCATTTCATTTTGATGCTCATGGGGATTTGAATACTAGATATGATGTATTGCTCTGGAAGGAGATCAACGGCCATATGACTATCACCAAGATGGCAGAATATGACCTACAGAATGATGTCTTCATCTTTACAGACCAAGAAACAAAAAATGAGTTCAGGAATATTAAGGTAACTTTGTGGTAGATGGCTTTGTAGCATTAAGCTTGACTCATTCAAAATCAATTGGTCCCTCAACTGCAAAAATACTTGACCCCACCAGGAACTTCAGTGATCCGTCAACCTCTTCTCTGTACAGTAAGTACATTACATTAGATTAGATTACATCCACAAGTATAGGAGTAGATTCCAACAAATATTTTGGGGGACACAATTCAGTCCATAACATCATCTTACTTCACTTACCAGATAATTATTCTCCTCTCCATGAAATGCTTTGTTTGCTTGCTTCCATACCACCACACTCCTTTGATTTTCTTCTTTTCCTGGTTCCTTATCATTCCCCAAAAAAACAAAAAATTTGTTGCCGTGGAGTTGATTAAAACTCATAGCAACCCTATAGGACAGAGTAGGACTGCCCTATAGGATTTCCAAGGAGCAGCTGGTGGATTCAAACTGCTGACCTTCTGGCCAGCAGCTGGGCTCTTAACCACTGCACCACCAGTGCTCCTATCATTCCCACTACCTCTAAATATTGGAGTTTCCAAGGGCTCAGAAATGCTTCTTTTTTCTGTCTGCACTTTTCTTTAGTGATCACATCCATTCCCACAGCTTTAAATGCCTTCTGTATGCTGATGCCCCCCAGATTTTTATCTCCTGAATTCTGTCCCAAATATACAACTGCCTATTTGGCATCTCTTCTTGGATTATGGTGTTGGCAAGGAATATTGAATATACCATGGACTTCCAGAAGAACAAACAAATCTGTCATGGAAGAAACATAGCCAGAATGCTTAGAAGCAAGTATGGCAAGACTTCATCTCACATACTTTGGATATATTATCAGGAGGGACTAGTCCCTGGAGAAGGACATCATGTTTGGTAAAGTAGAGGATCAGTGAAAAAGAGGAAGACCCTCAATGAGATGGATTGACACAGTGGCTGCAACAATGGGCCCAAACATAACAAGGATGGCCAGGACTGGGCAGTGTTCCATTCTGTTGTACATGTGGTCATTATGAGTTGGAACCAACACATGGGCACCAAACAACAACAACACTTAGATGTCTAATAGTCATTTTAACTTAATATCTCCGAAAGTGACCTTCTGATATTTTCTCCCAAACTTACCCCATCTCAATAAATGGCAACTCCCTTCTTCCAGTTGCACATGGAAAAGCCTGGTAGGATCCTGGCCTCCTTTCTGTCACACCCCACGTCCAATCTAGGCTATACTTTCAAAGCGTGTCCAAAATCTGACCACTTTTTAACTCTACTTCACTGCTGCCACCCTACCCCAAGCCACAATCATCTCTCATCCCAATTATTACAGTAGGCTTTTGACTGCTCTCTGTTTTAACTCTTACTCCCTTCAGTCTGTCCTCAAAACAGCAGCCAGAGTAATCCTGTAAAATCTAGTATTCTGCTCCGTATTACAAGCCCTACATGATCTGCCTCCAATACCTCTCTGACCTTATCTCCTACTATCGCCCTTACTCTTGCCCATCTCCTATAACCCCAGAGGCCTTCCTGCTGTTATATACCTGCTTTCCTTGCTCCTAGCTCAAGGCCTTTGTACCTGCTATTTCATTTGCCTGTAATAATCTTCAACAATGTCCACATGGTTCACTGTCTCACTTTCTTTTGATCTTTTCTAAAATGTCACTTTTTAAGTGAAGCCTTCCCTGGTCACCCTAATTAAAATTGTAATATCTCCTCATCCTTTTCCTATACACTGTCCTGTCTTTATTTTATCCTTAGCGCTTATCACTATCTAGCATTCTGTACATTTTGCTTATTTTTATATAGCTGATTACCAGCCTTGCCAACTAGAACTTAAGGTCTATGAGAGCAGGGATTTTTGTGTTTCATTCCCTGCTGTACCTCCTACAACTAGAAAGTTATTGCTAGTTGCCATCAAGTTGGTTCCAACTCATGGTGACTTTATGGACAACAAAACAAAACCTTGCACAGTCCTGCTCCATCTTCATGACTATTGGCATGTTCAAGTCCATTGTTGCGGCCATTGTGTAGTGCCTTCCACCCTAGGGGGCTCATCTTCTAGACTGTATGGGACAATATTCTTTTGTTTCTATAGGATTTTCATTGGCTGATTTTCAGAAGTAGATTGCCGGATATTTATTCCTAGTTTGTCTTAGTCTAGAAGCTCCTTCCCCCACATGTCTGTCAGTTTGTCGCACTGTGGGGGCCTGCGTGTAGCTGTGATGCTAAAAGCTATGCCACCAGTATTCAAATACCAGCAGGGTCACCCATGGTGGACAGGTTTCAGCTAAGCTTCCAGACTAAGACAGACTAGGAAGAAGGACCCAGCAGTCTACTTCTGAAAAGAATTAGCCAGTGAAAATCTTACGAATAGCAGCAGAACATTGTTTGATATAGTGCTGGAAGACGAGCCCCTCAGGTTGGAAGACACTCAAAATACCACTGGGGAAGAGCTGACTCCTTAGAGTCGACCTTAATGACATGGATGGAGTAAAGCTTTCAGGACCTTCATTTGCTGATGAGGTATGACTCAAAATGAGATATAACAGCTGCAAACATCCACTAATAATCAGAACATGGAATGTATGAAGTATGAATCTAGGAAAACTGGAAATTATCAAAATGAAATGGAACACATAAACATCAATATCCTAGGCATTAGTGAGCTGAAATGGAATGGTATTGGCCATTTTGAATTGAACAATCATAAGGTCTGCTATGCTGGGAATGACAAATTGAAGACGAATGGTATTGCATTCATCAAAAAGAACACTTTGAGATCTATCCTGAAGTACAACGCTGTCAGTAATAGGATAATACCCATATGCCTACATGGAAGACCAGTTAATACGACTATTATTCAAATTTATATACCAACCACTAAGGCCAAAGATGAAGAAATTGAAGATTTTTATGAACTTCTGCAGTCTGAAATTGATCGAACATGCAATCAGGATGCATTGATAATTACTGGTGACTGCAATGCAAAAGTTGGAAACAAAGAAGAAAGATTGGTAGTTGGAAAATATGGCCTTGGTGATAGAAATGATGCTGGAGATCACATGATAGAATTTTGCAACACTAACAACTTCTTCATTGCAAATACTGTTTTTCAACAACATAAATGGTGACTATACAAGTGGACCTTGCCAGATGGAATTCACAGGAATCAAATCTACTACATCTATGGAAAGAGACCATGGAAAAGCTCAATATCGTCAGTCAGAACAAGGCCAGGGGTCAAATGAGAAACAGACCATCAATTGCTCATATGCAAGTTCAAGTTGAAACTGAAGAAAATTAGAACAAGTCCATGAGAGCCAAAGTACAACCTTGAGTATATCCCACCTGAATTTAGAGACCATCTCAAGAATAGATTTGACGAGTTGAACATTAATGACTGAAGACCAGACGAGTTGTGTAATGACATTAAGGACATCATACATGAAGAAAGCAAGAGGTCATTAAAAAAAACAGGAAAGAAAGAAAAGACCAAAATGGATGTCAGAAGAGACTCTGAAACTTGTTCTTTAATGTCAAGTAGCTAAAGCAAAAGGAAGGAATGATGAAGTAAATGAGCTGAACAGATTTCAAAAGACAGCTGGAGAAGACAAAGTAAAGTATTAAAATGGCATGTGCATAGACCTGGAGATAGAAAACCAAAAGGGAAGAACATGCTATGCATTTTTCAAGCTGAAATAACTGAAGAAAAAATTCAAGCCTTGAGTTGCAATATTGAAGGATTCTATGGGGAAAATATTAAACAACTCACGAAACTTCAAAAGAAGATGGAAGGAATCATAGGGTCACCAAAAAGAATTGGTCGACATTCAGCTATTTCAGGAGGTAGCATATGATCAGGAACTGAAGGAAGAAGTCCAACCTGCACTGAAGGCATTGGAGAAAAACAAGGCTACAGGAATTGACAGAATACCAATTGAGATGTTTCAACAAACAGATGCGGCACTGGAAGTGCTCACTTGTCTATGCTAAAAAATTTGGAAGACAGTTACCTGGCCAATAGACTGGAAGAGATCCATGTTTATGCCTATTCCCAAGAAAGGTGATCCAACCGAATGTGGAAATTATCGAACAATAACATTAATATCACATGCAAGTAAAATTTTGCTGAAAATCATTCAAAAGTGACTGCAGCAGTATATTGACAGGGAACTGCCAGAAATGCAAGCCAGATTCAGAAGAGGTTGTGGAACAAGGGATATCATTGCTGATGTCAGATGGATCCTGGCTGACTACCAGAAAGATGTTTACCTGTGTTTTCTTGACTGTGCGAAGTCATTCAACTGTGTGGATCATAACAACTTATGGACAACATTTCGAAGAATGAGAATTCCAGAACACTTAATCGCGCTCATGAAGAACCTGTAAACGGATCAAGAGGCAGTCGTTTGAACAGAACAAGGGGATGCTGCATGGTTTAAAGTCAGGAAAGGTGTGCGTCATGGTTGTATCCTTTCACCATACTTATTCAACCTGTATGCTGAGCAAATATGCTGAGAAGCAGGAATATATGAAGAAGAATGGAGCATCAAGATTGGAGGAACAGTCTTGTATTATGCAGATGACACAACCTTGCTTGCTGAAAGTGAAGAGGACTTGAATCACTTACTGATGCAGATCAGAGACCACAGCCTTCAGTACAGATTACACCTCAACATAAAGAAAACAAAAATCCTCACAACTGGACCAGTAAGCAACATCATGATAAATGGAGAAAAGACTGAAGTTGTCAAGGATTTCATTTTAGTTGGATTCACAATCAACACCCAAGTAAGCAGCAGTCAAGAAATCAAAAGACATATCGCATTGGGCGAATCTGCTGCAAAGACCTCTTTAAAGTGTTGAGAAGCGAAGATGTCACCTTGAAAACTAAGGTACACCTGACCCAAGCCATGGTGTTTTCAATGGCCTCATATGCATGTGAAAGCTGGATGATGAATAAGGAAGACCAAAGAAGAGCTGATGCCTTTGAATTGTGGTGTTGGTGAAGAATATTGAATATACCATGGACCACCAAAAGAATGAAGAAATCTATCTTGGAAGAAGTACAACCAGAATGCTTCTTAGAAGCAAGGATGAAGAGACTACATCTTACATACTTTGGACACATTCTCAGGAGAGATCAGTCCCAGGAGAAGGACATCATGTTTGGTAAAGTAGAGGGTCAGTGAAAAAGTGGAAGACCCTGAATGAGATGGATTGACACAGTGGCTGCAAAATAGGCTCGAGCATAAAAACGATTGTGAGGATAGTGCAGGACCAGGCAGTGTTTCATTCTATTGTGCATAGGGTCGCTATACTGTTGTAAACCACTGTTCTTAGTCTAATTTTCCCTGTCAAAAATTTCAGTAAAACAAGATACTTTTCCTTTGGAAGACAGAAATTTAACTTTCTTTGAATGTTCTCAAACTTTCATCATCATCTTCATTAAAGTCACTGTCGTCCTCACAACTACTTTACGAACCCAGCACTCTGCTTTAACTTTAACAGGATCTTTTAAGTTATGCCGTGACTCCTTTTCTTATTAAATACACAGAGGATTCTGAAGAGTTGTTTTTAATTATTACTGAGACTTATCTCCAGACTATAGGGAAGACACTCAGTGAAGGGGAGGTGACAAAATGACTCAGAACTGAATGGAGCTTTTAATGACTAAATGGAAGGAGCTGACAACCATGAAAGAGGACAAGTTCTCCTTTTTTTTTCCTTTTTTTTAATTGTTGTAGTTAAATGAAGTTTACATCTCAAGTTAGTCTCCCATACAAAATTTTATACATACATTGTTATGTGACCCTAATTGCTCATTCCATTCTACTACAGCATACTCCTCCTTTCTGCCCCTGATTACCCATGACCATTCAACCAGCTCCTAACTCTCTCTGCCTTCCCATTTCACTTCTGGACAGAAGCTGCCCCTTTGGTCTCCTGTATCTACTTGACAAAGAGGTACACTCTCCATGAGTATCACTTTATGTCCTACAGTCTGGTCCAATCCCTGTCTGAAGAGTTGGCCTCAGAAATTGTTTTAGTTATGGGCTGATAGAGAGTTCAGGGGCTATGCTTTCCGGGGTACCTCCAGCCTCAGTCAGACCATTAAGTCTGGTCCTCTAACTAGAATTTCAGCTCTGCATCCCATCTTTTTGCTGCTCCATCAGGGACTCTCTGTTGTGTTCCCTGTCAGGGCGATCATTATGGTAGTCGGCACCATCTAGTTCTTCTGGTCAGGCTGATCAAGTCTCTGGTTTATGTGGCTCTTTCAGTCTCTTGGGCTAATACTTTCCTTGTGTCCATGGTGTTCTTCATTCTCCTTTACTCTGAGTGGTTGGGACCAATTGATGCGTCTTAGATGGCCGCTTGCAAGCTTTTAAGACCCCAGACACCACTCACCAAAGTAGGATGCAGAACATTTTCTTAATAAGCTTTGTAATGCCAATTGACCTAGATGTCCCCTGACAGCATGGTCCCCAGACCCCTACCCCTGCTACTCTGTCTCTCAAAGTATTTGATTGTATTCAGGAAACTTCTTAGCTTTGGTTTAGTCCAGTTGTGCTGCAAGTCCTCCTTTCTAATGGAAACACACATAAATATTTCAAAAATGTAGTGGAAGCCAACAATAAAAACCAAAAAGCAAACCCATTGCCATCAAGTCGATTTTGACTCATAATGACCCTATAGGACAGAGTAGAACTGCCCCATAGGGTTTCCAAAGCTGTAATCTTTACAGAAGCAGACTGCCACATCTTTCTGCAGCAGAGCGGCTGGTGGGTTCAAACTGTTAACCTGAGATCAACTAGGTGAGATTTTAAGATCCTCTTGTCAATCTACCTGCTAATTGGAGTATCAACATTTCTGGTAAATCACCAAAACCCGTAGTCCAAAACATCTAATAATTCTAAATCATATCCCTAATGACCTCTGGCTTTAACTAATAGTCAAATTCTTTTGTGTCCTCTGTGCACCCCCCAAGAGACTGGATGCTTTAGATTAAAATTTTGCCCTGGGGAATCCACAAGGCAGTCATTCTGATTGTCAAAAACCCAAGTCAATAATAATTTTGTTGAGAAGAAGAAAGCAAGTGTTTGTGGACACAGGGCCAATGATCTTGGCTACTTTTTTCTCTCAAACATTTTTCATCTTTCAGAGAAAAGACTGGTGAGCTTAGATCTTTGACTGTGTTCTGGTCTCAGCATTATCCATTTAGAGAGTCTTAAGAACGCCTCATTTTACCATTCTGCTCTGGCTTCCTAAGAGTAAGAGTGAAACGATGGCAGCGATTCATCTCACGATGTGCCATGAGAAAGGGACTATGAATGGAAACAGTAACATAGCTGAAGTGCTAAGAATTATTAGCTAAATAAGAAGCATAGAGTTCCATAAAAGTAGAATGTTGCGGGGGACCTCATACCATCAAGAAAGCAATGCCAGGAGCAGAGCGTGTCCTTTGGACCCAGGGTCCCTGTGCGGAGAAGCTCCTAGTCTGGGGGAACATTGATGAGAAAGCTGACACAGAGAGAAAGACTTCCCCTTGAGCTGATGCCCTGAATTTGTACTTTTAGCCTACTTTACTGTAAGGAAAACTTTGTTAAAACCTTCCACTCGTGGTATTTCTGTTAGAGCAGCACTAGATGACTAAGACAGAATTTGGTACCGAGAAAGTGGGGTGCTGCTCTAACAGATACCTAAAATGTGGAAGCAGTTTTGAAACTGTGAATGGATAGAGGAGTGGCAGTGGCAGAGGACCAGCAACAGCAGAGAACCTGCAGCGGCAGAGAAGCGGCAGTGGCAGAGAAGCAACAGCAGCAGAACCAGGAGACCAGCGCCAAGATGGTGCTGGAGCCGACCCATGGAGCGAGAGAGCGGAGTGCCTGTGCACAGGAGGCTTCCTGGCAGAGTGGGGTGCCTCTGGGCACTTATCGGTGGAGCTAGGCTTTCTGACCCCCAGAGCAAGGGAGCTGAGTACCAGTGCGCAAGAGGCTTCCTGGTAGAGTGGAGTGCCTCCGGGCATTTACTGGTGGAGCTACTGAGCTTTGGAACACTTGCCCCAGAAGGGCAGATGCAGGCGTGAGGCCCAAGGGCCAAGAGGCCATAGGACGCAGAAGCTGAAGAGACAAGGAACACAAGAGCCGAGTCTCAAAAGGTGATCACTTACTCCAGTCGTCATGTCTACAATAACTTGACTGAGGAACAGAAGGGCCGAGTAGCCTTTACTTCCAATTTCCTGGTCGGCGATGCCTCACTGCAGATTGAGCCTCTGAAGCCCAGTGATGAGGGCCAGTACACCTGCAAGGTGAAGAATTCAGGACGCTATGTGTGGAGCCATGTCATCTTAAAAGTCTTACTGAAACCATCCATACCCAAGTGTGAGTTGGAAGGAGAGCTGACAGAAGGAAGTGACCTGACTTTGCAGTGTGAGTCATCCTCTGGCACAAAGCCCATTGTGTATTACTGGCAACGAATCCGAGAGAAAGAGGGAGAGGATAAACATCTACCTCCCAAATCGAGGATTGACTACAACCACCCTGGCCGCTTTCTGCTGCAGAACCTCACCATGTCCTCCTCTGGCCTCTACCAGTGCACAGCAGGCAATGGGGCTGGGAAGGAAGGCTGTGTGGTGCGAGTGACTGTGCAGTATGTACAAAGCATCGGCTGGTTGCAGGAGCAGTGACAGGCATGGTGGCTGGAGCCCTGCTGATTTTCCTCTTGGTGTGGCTGCTAATCCCACGGAAAGACAAAAAGAGATATGAGGAGGAAGACAGACCTAATGAAATTCGAGAAGATGCTGAAGCCCCAAAAGCCCGCCTTGTGAAACCTAGCTCCTCTTCCTCAGGCTCCTGGAGCTCAGGCTCTGGTTCCTCCTCCACTCGCTCCACAGCAAATAGTTCCTCACTCAGCCAGCAGATGCTGTCAACTGAAGCAGCACCTCAGCCACGGCTGGCCACCCAAGCATACAGCCTAGAGTGGCCAGAGAGGAGAGGTTCTGAACCAAAGAAAGTCCACCGTGCTACCCTGACCAAAGCAGAAACCACACCCAGCATGATCTCCAGCTAAAGCAGAGCCTCCCAAACTGTCTGAATTACAGTGGACTTGACTTCCAGAGGGAGTCAAGGTCTTAGGACTCTACTAGTCATCGGAGCCCAGTCACCAGCCACACAACCCCCTAGGACCAGGTGCGAGGTCATTTAAATAGCAGTGAGCACTGCATGAAATGGATTCAACTGAGCACTTTCCTTATATGACACCAAACAAGCAAAAAGATTTAAGTGGATCACCTCCAAAAAGGCATCTCATTGTGCCTTTAGACCAGAGTTCGGAAAAACAAGCATCCAAATCTATTTGTTGACCAGATCCTGTAGTGAGAAGGTTGGGAAACGGGCAGTGAACGCATTTAAAACTTCTTACCTGGAATGTCTTGTACCAATGCTTTGATTCACAGTTGTCAAGAAGAAATGGGGTGTTGTTTGTAAATTTTCTATGCATTTCTGCAAACTTATTGGATTATTGTGATTATTCAGAGTCAAGCGTAACCCACAGCTTTATACTACACCTATCTGCACCAGGTACTAGGCTTACCACTTCTGAGAAACTCCATAAAAGAAGACACGTCTCTTCCATTCTGACTTGACTTCATGTGCCTTAAGATTTGGATATTAATTTCAAAAGAAGTTGAAATAGCGGGAGATGGGGAAGATTGAGTTTCTCCCATTCTATCCACTACTAACCTTCCTATGTATATTGAATGCTAAAATGAGAACTAAAAAATGAGACCAAAATGTGTACAAGGGACTGTGAAGAACATTACATCTTAATGATCTTCAGAGGATCACTGGCAAATAGCAGAAATATATACTGGAACAATTGTGGATTTTCCCTCAAATCAAATGTCTCTAAAGACTTCCCTGCTGGATATCTCTGGAAGAAGAAAACATTCTCTGCATGTCATTTAACAATGTCCTTAGAAAGAAATCTAGAGATAAAGAGATCTTTTAGGGATGCTGAAAGATCACCTGACAGGCCATTATAGTCTCTTCTTTCTGAGAAGACATGTAACCGGAATTTCAAGACTGATTGAAATAGAAAAGAATAGACCTGTTTCTTAATATGTCAAGGAGAGACATAAAGACGTTTAGCATTGTACCATACTTTGAGCTTATTCTATTTCTTTCATTTTAGAAAAATGATGTGAATCTGGCACTTTTGATTTTAGGCCTTAAAATATCAAAAAGATCAGGGATTGCCAACATTTCCTGATGGCATTGCAAGTATATGTCATAATCAGTCTTCTCCCAAGAGGTTGAGATAGAAATTCAGTATTTTCACAGCATCAGCCTCCAAGGAAGGCTAGCTCTGAACTGGAAGGAAGGGGAACTAACATTAAGTGTACAGCTGTTTTAAGGACAACTGGTGGGTGGCAAGGGTGGGCTGGGTGGTACCTGCTAACATTTTAGTTGTCAGCATTTTGGAAAGAATTAGCAGAAATGATTCATCAGGGTAGCTATCTGAAGAACTGATTCATGGGGGAAGAAGGGCATCTAAAAAATAAAAAAGAAAGCAGCCTTCAATACAATACCTTGCCTTTTTAATAGTTTTGACTACTCTGCTATCTATGGCATGGATGCTGGACCTGAAATAGCTCTTTAAGGACTCTAACTCAAATGTCCATTATAACATAGGTAGAGCAAAAATTTTCTTATTAAAAGGGCAGCAGGCTAGAGGAAAGAGTAATGCTGAATATGGTAATGAAAGTATTGCTTTTGAAATGGAAATCAGATGCTAAAGGGAAAAGGCTGATCTGGGATTTTGCCCTCTCTCTGATTTTTCATTCCTACATTTAATTTTCACACTAGTGCCCTCACACAATGTAAATGTATTTCCTTCTAAGATCCTTTCAAAAATAGGGTTTTACTCTTGAGTGCAAGTTTTAATCAGAATGTTATCTTCCACCAAAAAAGGTGGGAAATAAGAGACATTGAGGATGAAATGGAAGGAATGTCTACTATTAATTTTAGAGGGCTGGCATATTTGGGAGAAAGATGCGGCAGTCTGCTTCCCTAAAGATTTGTTTGCAGCCTTGGAAAGCCTATAGAGCACTTCTACTCTATCCTACAAGGTCACTATAAGTTGGAATCGACTCGACGGCAGTGGGTTTGGTTTTTGGTTTTGGGCATATCTGGAAAGGTTCTTTTATTAACACTGCCTCATTGTAAAATATAAAACCCCTTACTCTGACTACAGTTTTAGCCTTCTGGTAGTGTGTTATCCAAGAAATATAATACTACTGCTGTGTCATTCTGAGAATTCTCATTCCTAGAGTACCTGAGACAAAAAAAAGTACACTATGGAGGCTGCAGCTGTATCGTCATTAGCAATTTGCTCTTATCATTACTTGCTACCTTTGCACGTAAGGTTTCCTGCCTATGCCTTTGAAAGTAAGAATCAGTCCCCTCTGCATGAAAAGGAGGTATAAAGATATTAGTTATTAGAAGACTAAAATACCAATTGAATAACCAGATTAATTTGCAGATGTATTCACACTGGAAATCTACAACAAATTCCAAGACAGATGACTATCTAAGAGCTGAGAAAGTCTAAGGAACAGAAGTGTCTGAGAGAGAAAGTGCTGAGAGCTCAGCAATGATACTGCACTTCTCTTTGAGTAAGGTGTTTAGGTTCACATAATGCAGGCCCTGTGCTCAAGAAAAAGTTACAGACATTATTGGTTTCAAATTATATCCTATTGACTTTGCAAGTCAAAAAAACTTCCTTCTTTAATATGGAACAAACCAAAAAAGAGAATAAAGTAAATGGCAGAGGAAAAGATTTTGTAGAGAGAAGATGCAGATGGAATGATGTGGATGTTGAGAGGATAACCATTTCAATAAAATACATAACTCAACTTAACTTTGTAAAATAATGAAGTTGACGCCTCGTTGTTACTGTACAAAATTTCAGAATTGCTGTTGCAAACAGACACATAATTTTGCTTCCGTTCTGGTGTAGAGCTGTTTATATTTCAATTTTAGCTTCTAGGTTCTCTTGTAATTGGACTGTGTTTGAACATCACAAAAACCAAATATTTATTATAGATGTGTCTGTATCAGCAATTAAAAAATAAATAAGTAAAGGTGACACTGTAAAAAAAAAAGTAGAATGTTGCTGCATGTGATTCACACCATGACATGCAGAATAATAACTTAAATTCTCAGAAGGATTTAAATAGTATTTATATCTCTAAGGTTGTCTTGTTAACTTCTACTCTAGTAGTTTTAAATTAAATATGGTCCATTGTCTTACTTTTTAAGTTTAAACTGAACATGGTTCTTGGACTGGGACCTTTGCACAGCATGATTAGTAACTTTCTCCTAAAGAATATAAGAGCCCAATAATATATATAGTTGAACTCTTTATAAAGTATGGAATTGGAAATTTCCAGACCATCGTTTCTTTCCTTCATTCCACCACTACACATTTCTCTCTCTGCTGGGGACTTCTCAAAGAGCTAATTTCCATAATTTGCTTACAGAAGTTTTTAGTGTGACAAAAACTGTGTTCTTCCTAGAACAGTTACTCCATGTGGAGTATTTTATATTTCTTGAAGTTGTTCACATTCCTCAAGATGGCAAAAAATTCTATTCTATGAAAAAAGATCAAAATACTGTTCAGTAAATACATCCTTATACTATGTCAAAGTTAGTTATGATAAGTCTTTTTTTAAAAAAAAAAACTATTTGGGATTTCTTTCCACTTTTAACATAGCAAATTCAGTCTAAATGCTCCAAGAAATGCAGTCCTGGACAAAGGAAGAAAACTATAAAAAGTCAACATATTTGCTGCTATGAATGTGTGAACTGTCTGGAAAATCACTACAGTAATCAGACAGGTAATTACAGTCACTACACACACAGTGGTGCACCTGAACAATTTCTCCTAAGATGATTTGTTTTTTTAATTTAATATTGTTTGAATTCTATTTTGGTTTAATTTCTCATTTGACAAAAAAGCTTCTCATGTTCTTGATAATTTAAATTATGATAAAATTTCATTTGATCTTAGAATCTGTTCTATTATATCAATAGCACAGCCAATAAAAACAAAACAAAACAAAACATTGCCATTGAATAATAGAGATGTAAAAGTAACTTCACTTCCAAGGGAAGATGTCATTCCCCCACCATCCCCACTCCAGTAACTCTTAAAAAACAATGCAATGTCTATGTATTTCCATACTGACATGCCTGGTTTATAATTGGGGCACAATAACGTAAATAAATAGAATGCTGAATTAACTAAACTGAGCATAATAGAAATCCAGAGGTTAAGAAAACAGGCGTGCATGCCCTGGAGATCTCACTATGTACCAAAATACAAAAGTTAAGCCTAAAAAGGAAGAACCTTCTTTGAGACAAGGGAACCAACTATTGACAGAGATGAGGTACTAGTAACTGATTGTTTGCCAACCCTATCTTTAACAATTTTACCAGATCACAGCAAAATACACAAATTAAAGAACAGGAGTGAGGTCAGCAGCCTTAGGAGCCCTAAAAGGAGCTATCAGCACTTTCCCTAGAGTTAAACCTGCTTTAAAAGCATTCCTATTCATCTTCTACAGAAGCTGAGCACCCCAGAACTGAAGTAGGCCCCAAATGGCTATTCTTTCTTCTTACTAACCTCAAGGATGTAGAAGTGTACCAATATAAATTTTTAAATTTCATGTTCTGTCACTATCTCACAAAATGCCATTTACTCCAACCTGAGATGGATTGTGCTGCTTAAATAATTAGATAATTGGGGGTGGGAGGCGCATTTCCAGGCAATATAGTAATTAGCAACTATCTGCCAAGTCGGATAAATAAAGCACGGAGAAGTATGTACCATTTATTTCCCAAAAAGATGTACAAGAATCTTTCAAGATCCAAGTTGAGTTATCTTTTTATAACCAGGACAAATTGCTTCCATAAACAAGTATCGAAAACTGAGGACACTTTGGAGGAAAAGCAGAGTTAGGAGAATCTGAAATCTTATTCTTCTCTACATGTCCAACACCAGACATGGCTCTAGTACATAGAAAAGTCTAGTAAGTGTTCACTGAATGAACGAAATGAGTGACATGGCAGGCACTAGCAGCAGTGATCAAGGGGTCCGTAAACCATCGCCGTCAAGTCTATTCTGGCTCATAGAGACCATATAGGACAGAGTAGAACTGCCCATAGAGTTTCCAAGGAGCACCTGGTGGATTCGAACTGTCAACCTTTTGGTTAGCAGATGTAGCTCTTAACCACCACGCCACCAGGGTTTCCAGTCAAGGAGTAAACAGGAAAAAAATAGTTATTTGTAAAGAAGTAGGTTTCGGAAAGACATCCCTGGGTAGTGCAAATGGTTTGAGTTTGTCTACTAACTGAACGGTTAGCGGGTCAAATCCACCCATAGGTGCCTCAGAAGAAGGCCCTGGAAATGTGCTTCTGAAAGATCAAACCAAAAAAATCCGTTGTTGCTGAGTGGGTCCCAACTCATAGCAACCCTATAGGACAGAGGAGAACTGCCCCATAGGGTTTCCAAGGAGCTGCTGGTAGATTCGAACTGCCAACCTTTTGGTTAGCAGGCATAGCTCTTAACCACTGCACCACCAGGACACCATTGAAAACCCTGTGGAGCACAGTTGTACTCTGATACACATGGGGTTGTCATGAGTCAGAACTGACTCAGTGGCAACAGGTTTAGGGTTTGGAAAGACACTCATGCTAGAAAGGTCATGCAGTTTATAAACAGAAGTACAACCTGATTGTGAAGCTAATAAGAAAGGGAACATAGAAATTTTAAAAAGTTGAATGGGCACTAGGGAGTTTAATCACACATGATGCCCTGAGATAGACTTTTTGGAAGCAGTTGGGACCCACCATCTTCAATGGGTGGAAATGGGGAGAAAATGCAATCACACCCAGCAAGACCCCACTGTAATACCAATTATTCATGCTGTACTTGTGGTCAGAATCAGCATAAATAATTTTTGAGTTTATCAATACCAATGTGAGAGGCTTAATTTTACTAGTCTCCTGGGGAAAAAATAAACTTTAATTATTCATCAACTGCCATTAACTACAATCTTGTAGTATTTCACCTTTAGGAAGAGACTTCAAGCTTTTAGGGTTGTCTAGCCATACTGCCTCTTGGTTTTAAAAGAACTGCAACCTTATTCATAGCAGCTCCCAAATATTGAGTGCCTACTGTATGCCAGGCTCCATGCAAAGCATTTTATATGCATTATCTCATTGAATACAACAACCCAATCAAGCAGAGTCTTTTTTTTTTTTTTTTAATGAGATTTGGAAAGAGGCTCAGACAGGTCAACTAGCTGTTTCAAGATCACAAAAATAGTGGTAGAACCAGGAAAAGGATTTAAGATACATCTGATCCCACAGCCCATACTCATAACAGAGCCACCAATAATAAATTCATAAAAGGCTAGTGTCTATGCTGAGTATATTAATTTCCTAATGACTAACAGCCCAGCTAACATTTGCTCTTTCTCTTTTTCTTTGTCTCTATTTTCCTCCCCCTCTTCTCTTACCTTTGCCCTTTCTCTCTTACTTTCTTTGAGTTCTGTGCATGCTTTATTTTAATATGTAATCAACATGACAATAATGTATATCTGTTTTCAGTCAGGTCTGCTACACAGAAGGAGTCTCATTTGTAGTATTGTGGACCATCGCCTAGTTTAAATGTTCACAAAATAACTGACTTTCCTCTGTCTTTTAGATATGGATCACTGCCTTTTATGCAACAATGAAACTCATTGGGCCCCTGCAGGGAGCACCATATGCTATGAAAAGGAAGTTGAGTATCTCAACTGGAATGATTCCCTGGCTATCCTGCTCCTGGGCCTCTCCCTACTGGGAATCCTGTTTGCTCTAGCCATTGGCATAATATTTACAAGAAATCTGAGCACACCCATTGTAAAATCATCTGGGGGATTGATGGTCTGCTATGTAATCCTCCTCTGTCACTTCCTCAACTTTGTCAGCACGGTTTTTGTCATTGGAGAACCACAAAACTTCACATGTAAAACCAGGCTGACGCTGTTCCATGTGAGCTTTACTCTCTGCATCTCCTGCATTTTGATGAAGTCCCTGAAAATTTTGCTAGCCTTCAGCTTTGATCCCAAGTTGCAGAACTTCCTGAAGTCCCTCTACAAACCAATCCCCATTATCTTAACTTGCACAGGTATCCAGGTTGTCATTTGCACACTCTGGTTAATCTTTGCTGCACCTGTGGTAGAGGAGAATGTCTCCTTTCCCAGAGTCATTATCCTGGAATGTGAGGAAGGATCCATAATTGCATTTGGCACCATGCTGGGCTATATTTCCATCCAAGCCTTCATTTGCTTCATATTTGCCTTCAAAGGCAGGAAATTACCTGAGAATTACAATGAGGCCAAATTCATAACATTTGGCATGCTCATTTACTTCATAGCTTGGATCACGTTCATCCCCATGTATGCTACCACATTTGGCAAATACCTACCAGCGGCAGAGATTATCTTCATTTTGATATCAAATTATGGGATCCTGTGTTGCACATTCTTCCCTAAATGTTACGTTATTCTTTGGAAGCAAGAGACCAACACAAAATCTGCCTTCCTCAAGATGATTTACAGCTACTCTTCCCACAGCGCAGGCAGCCTTGCCATGAGCCAAGCTTCGCTGGACTTCACCAACAGCAGTATCACAATGACCAACCCTAGAGCTGACGGCAAGTCTGCAGCCTCTCAGAAAAGTAAAGCCCTTCAGGCACAAGCGTTTGCACATATACGGAGAGAAAATAGTCCTGGAGTATCTAAAACTTTGCCTCGAAAAAGAATTTCAGGTATATGAATACTTGGGAGCTGCCCAGTACCCAAGTAAAATATTTCTAGGGTCTTTATGGTTAAGATGTGCATCTGCTTTCCCAGCAAATATGTCCTATGTGTTTCTTCAGCCACCACTATCTCCTCCAGATTTTGGTTGAACACTCACATGGTCCACTCGCCTGTTTAACAAAGAAAATAAAGCCCTTGACCTGAAACTCTCCCCATTCCCTACCACTTGTATCTGTCTCCATGTTTACCAGCTTCTTCTTAGGTTCACAGTTAAAGGGATCTCTTCTATTCAAAGTTAATTCCCAATATGTTATCTTTTTACTCCATCCGTTACTGTCTCTTCTCAAACCTATTTACATTTGCTTGCTGTCTTCTCTCTTGGGTTTCTTTGTCTCCCCTTCCTGCAGCTCAGCGTCCTGGTGGCGCAGTGGTTAAGAGCTCAGCTGCTAACCAAAAGATCGGCAGTTCGAATCCACCAGCCGCTCCTTGGAAACGCTATGGGGCAGTTCTACTCTGTCCTACTTAGGGTTACTATGAGTCAAAATCAACTCGATGGCAACGAGTTTGGTTTTTTTGGTTTCCCACAGCTCAGTTCAGTTCAACAAACCTTGGAGCAATTGCCACGTGCTAGATAATTATGTAAATACAAAGGTGTAAGAAGGAGCAAGAAAAAAATTTCAGACCTCAAGAAGTTCAAAATCCAGGGGGCGAGAGTCACATGTAGATATTTTCAATTAATGTGGGGAATTCTATGATTGTAATGTGTAGGTCACTACAATAGTAAAAGTGGCTCTTCATCACCCTGGTGTGCTATGAAGGGTTTAAGAGAAGGCTAAGTAAAGAATATGATGTTTACGTGATGTGTATTTAGGTGTTGTGGTAGTCTGAATAATGGCCCCCAACCATATCTAGGTCCTAGTCCCTGGAACCTGTGAATGTTACCTTATAGGACAAAAGAGACTTCGAAGATGTAACTAAATTAAGGATCTTGAGATAGGAAGATTAACCTGAATTATCTGGGTGAGCCCTATTTGCAATCACAGGTGTCTTTCTAAAAGGGATGCAGAGGGAGATGTGTCACAGAAGAAGAAGAAAGCAATGTGACAGCTGAAGCAAGATGCTATGCTGCTGGCTTTGAAGATGGAGGAAGGGGCCATGAGCCAAGGAAGGCAGCTCTACAAGCTGGAAAAGGCAAGGAAATGGATTCTCCCCTACAGCATCTGGAGGGAGCACAGCCCTGCCAACACCTTGACTTTAGCTCAGTGAATCTGATTCCAGAAGACTTCTAGCCTCCAGAACTGAAGAGAGTAAATTTGTGTTGTTTTAAGCCACCAAGTCTGTGATAATTTATTATGGCACCCATAAAAACCTAGTACAGAAAGTAGACAAGAATTATCTTAGGTGAAGGGAGGGACAGCACACACTACAGGGGAAGTCAGCACAACTGGACTAAACCAAAGCTAAGAAATTTCCTGAATACAACCAAACACGTCAAGGGACAGAGTAGCAGGGGCAGAGGTCTGGAGACCATGCTTTCAGGGGACATCTAGGTCAATTGGCATAACAAAGTTTTTTAAGAAAATGTTCTGCATCCCACTTTGGTGAGTGGTGTCTGGGGTCTTAAAAGCTAGCTAGCGACCGTCTAAGATGCATCAATTGGTCCTAACCCACCTGGAGTAAAGGAGAATGAAGAACACCATGGACACAAGGAAAGTATTAGCCCAAGAGACAGAAAGGGCCACATAAACCAGAGACTTCATCAGCCTGAGACCAGAAGAACTAGATGGTGCCGACTACCATAATGATCGCCCTGACAGGGAACAAAACAGAGTCCCTGACAGAGCAGGATGAAAGTGGGGTGCAGAACTCAAATTCTAGTAAAAAGACGGGATTTAATGGTTTGATTGAGACTGAAGGGACCCTGGAAGATGTAGCCCCCGGGCTCTCTGTTAGCCCAAAACTAAAACCATTCCTGAGGCCAACTCTTCAGACAAAGATTAGACTGGACTATGGGACATAAAATGACATCTGTGAGGAGTGCTTCTTAGCTCAAGTAGATACATGAGATTAAATGAGCAGCTCTCATCCAGAGATGAGATGAGAAGGCAGAGAGGGTCAGGAGCTGGTTGAATGGACACGGGAAATCCGGGGTGGAAAGGAAGAGTGTGTTGTCACAGTATAGAGAGAGCAAGCAGGGTCACTAAACAATGTATGTATAAATTTTTGTATAAGAGACTAACTTGAATTTTAAACTTAAAGCACAACAATTAAACAAAAGAAAAACCTAGTACAGGTGAAGTTCTAAAAAACGAGTAGGAGTTAGCCAAAGAAATGGGTTCCAGATAGAGGGGAAAAGCAGAAACAGCAGAAAGTGGGAAGAGCTATGTTCAGGAAACTGCAGTCATGCTGGTATTAGTAGAGAGAAGTCCTCTTTGGGAGTGAGAGGTCAGGTCATGAATGAATGCCACAGACTGAAGATCTTTGTTTAGGAGCTTATATGTTTATCTTGTGTGCAGTGGGTGGTCATCTGAGGCAGAAAGTTGACAGCCTCAGAGTCCCATTTAGAAAGATCACTCTGAGGCAGGTTAGAGGCTAGAGACCAGTTAAGAGAGGTTTAGGATCTGTTCTTGAGAATAGAAAGGAGGATATGGAAACGTATTTCAACAATATAGGAGGTGGTCATTTATTTGAAGTGGTTGGTGAAGCATGAGTTATAGGCTTCTAGTTTGGTGTATTTAAAGGTGATATGGAATACATGAGGAATACAGGAGGTTTGAAAAGATGATCAAATATTGAATTTGGGTTGCCTGGGGTAATTTCAGGATGTGCTAAGCATTCATGTGGATCTAAGACTCTGAGATTAGGTGCTATGTCAGGGCTAGTGATACGGATTTTGGTGCCATGCTGACATTGCTCCTCCCTTCCTTACAAAACAGAAAAACATACAAAATAATATTGCTCCCAATCTTGACTTTCTCTTTAGCTACTGTTCTGTTTCCCTCTCCTTTTAACAGCTAAATATTTGAAGAAATAATATCATTATTGTCTTGTGATCCATTAGTTCTAGGCCTACCAAAATCTGGCTTCTAGTTCTACTACATGCTGACATAGTTCATGGAAAAGTCATCTCTGACCTCTTTCTATAAAATTAAATGATCTTTTTTTTTCTTTTTTATAAATTTTATTTTGTTGTTGTTGTTGAGAATATACACAGAAAATATACACCAATTCAACAGTTTCTACATGTACAATTTAGTGACATTGATTACATTCTTTTAGTTGTGCCACCATTCTCACCTTCCTTTTCTGAGTTGTTCCTCCCTTATTAACATAAATTCACTGCCCCCTAAGGTTCCCACCTAATCTTTCAAATCACTGTTGTCAATTTGGTCCCATATAGATAGTTCTTAAAGAGCATAATGCTCAAGGCAGACCTTTTTTACTAGTTAAGCTAAACTATTGTTCAGTTTTAAGAGAACTTCAGGGGATACTTTTGGTTTAAAGATTATCTCAGAGCAATAGTTTCAGGGGTTTTCCACCTTCCATGGCTCCAGAAAGTCTGGAGTTCATGAGAATTTGAAATTCTGTTCTGTATTTCCTCCCTTTTGTTCAGGATTCTCCTATGGAATCTTTGATCAAAATGTTCAGTAATGGTAGCCAGGCACCATCCATTTCTCTTGGTCTCATGACAAAGGAGGCAGTTATTCATGGAGGCAATTACCCACACATTCCATTTCTTCTACTCCTGACTCTCCTTCTTCCTCTGTTGCTCCAGGTGAATAGAGACCAACTGTTGTGCCTTGTTTGGCCACTTGCAAGCTTTGAAGACCACAGGGAACGTTTAAGGGTTTATTTCTTCTAAGTCTTAAGAGTGTTTGTGGTCTAAACACTACAGGCCTTAATACATGGCATTAACAGGATACAAACCATAACCATCAACGCACAAAACCCAACAGATAACTGGGATCTTCTAAAAATCAAACACCTATGCTCTTCAAAAGACTTCACCAAAAGAGTAAAAAGAGAACCTACAGACGGGGAAAAAATTTTTGGACAGTACAAGTCAGACAAAGTCTAATCTCCATAATCTACAAGAAAATCCAACACCTCTACAACAAAAAGACAAATAATCCTATTAAAAAATGGGCAAAGG